CTCAGAAAGCTGTAATTTGATGCGAGTTTGAGTCTGACGAATTGTTGAAAAGTTGAAAATTCAGAATTGCAACTAATCAGGATCGATCAGACCAACAGCCCATCATTCCAAATTCCCAAGGCCACCAGACCACTCCAAAGGACCAAGCACCTCATCCAACAATCGCAAGACGGCTCACCAGAGGCGTTACCAATTCCATAATTCGCACTTGCGTAGGTGTAAACCCGTCATATGAATATTACAAACTCCCCCGCCATTGGACGACATAATCCTCCAATCATAACGCCTCAAGATATATCCATTCTATATAATATGATATTATCATATCGCGCTCGAGTTATTATTGGTCGGTGGCGCTATGCCCTACCCTCATCTACCTCCTACTCCTTATCCTTTCGCGCTCTCCCCCGCTCCCATTCTTCGGAGTCAACGGATACGGCGCTCCTCTTGCCTGTACTTCACCTCCTTCCCTCCCCCCCTCCTCCAGCAGCGAATTTAACCTTCTCTGTCTTGCACACCTCTCTCTCGATATCTCCCCTCTCAGTCACTGTACCTACCTCCTCGACGCATACGCTACTCGAGTTGGAGACCAACGTAGAGGTGGGGCTCTCGACGCGCCGCATTTTCTCTCTCTCTCTCTCTCCCACCTTCTCCGCCTTCCCCTTTTTGGTATATACCGGCTTCACCGAATTATGAGGATCAATACGCGGGAGAGAAGCTTGCAAGACCAGCGCCGACGCTACTCTATCGCCAGTCTCCAACCACCGCGGACCACCATCACCTGCATCAGGACATAATTTTTTTGGAATCATGATTCAGTATTCGATATCTGACTTCAGTCTCTTCTCCCTTCAGCCATTGTTACCAAACCGTTTGTCTACGAATTCGCGAAACAAAAAGGGAGGGACAGATTTAGATGTACGTATGCACGCGTGACCGGCATATCATATCTGCAGAATTGGTGTGTGCACAACGTGTATGTTGTATCCAACAAATGGCAACTGCTCCAACAATCGATATCAGCCACCACACGAGCAACTCGTATAACGCTCAACCTCGGTGCCGCACCAACTACACCCAAGCCAACCCCCTTTTACCTGTATCTCCATCTCCCTCGTATGTTTGAGGGAATCGCTGGTGCTCTGTCTCGCTTAGCTGTTCTCTCTGCACTGTCGTCACACCGTACAACCACCACAAACTACCCAAACCCTACCAAGCCCCAAAGTCCGCGTTTCACTTTGTCTCTACAACGCGATACCGACAAGAGCCCTAGTAGCCATTGTCGCTCAGTTGCATTGACTTTTTTGGGGCACGCAACTTGTTGCATAAAATTAGAAAAGAATTCTTTTCGCGATTGTTTCTCTCAGTTGATTTCCAAAAAAGTCTTGATTAAAATATTGGCCGCTGAATGAGTTCGCGAGGAACTGACCTTCAGGATCATCAATCGCCCCGATATTTTGATCAAGACATCATCATCATCAGGAAATGACACCGGGAAATCAACGAAATCCCTGAAACATGGAAGTTCGCCTATTGCCCCGCGGCAATGCGATTTGAACTAAAATAAAAAGGCCAAGTAGTAACGTGTGTCCGGACGTCGGAGAGCATTGAAGCGAATGGATCGCGAATGGACGGATGGACCATGCGGGGCGACGCCCGAGGGCTAAACGAGTGGAGACAATGGACGCGGAGACACGGAGAGGCGAAACTGGAGAGTGTTGGAGAGAGATGAACTGATGGGCACGGGCGGGGGGGGGGGGGGGG